AGGAGTAAAGCAAAAGATCCTCTGTTTAAAGATTTTAAAGTTCAGAGGTTGATAATATAACACGGGGCCGAGCAATCTAATCAGGATTCCAGCTGGAGGTAATTCTGTGACCCTGTGAAAATGTGTCCTCTGCCTCATCATCAGGGAGGTTTGGAGAACAAAGACGGACGTAATTTTTTTGGGCTCGTCTGAAAAGATTCTAATTTCTTGGCTCGTCTAAAACAGCACTGTTGATGTAAATTGCTTTGTTCCGATAACATTCACCGAGCATACCTCAGAAATGGATGTGCAACCCACTCTCTAATCAGATATCTGCACTGCAATCAGGAAGTTATCTTAATGACCTGTGTTAAATGCCAAACTTTCATTGTGCTTCATCCATTTGCAGTTTGATCACACCCCTTCGAGCCCAAACGCCAGTGAAACAGAACAAATCCATTTCACCAATGACCCTGTCGGGTTTGTGGAATCATGCGGAGTTGTGGAGGTTCTGCTGTAGGTTTTTAGGATTGGAGAGGTGTTTTTGTTTGTGAAGTCTCAGTGAACTTGACAACTGAATAATGCTCTATAGAAAAACCTGTTTGATCTCTGAAACTCAAGGTTGAAAGATTTAATGAAAGACCATGAATAATTTAAGTACATCAATAATACATTTTTCATTTCAGCTGGCCTGTGGCCACTCTTTGTGAAGGTAAAAAATAGTTTTTGACAGGTAGTTTAGGTGTTTGTTTCAGTTATTTCTGATGAGACGAGGGCTTCTCCTGTAAATATGACTCGCAAGAGAAAAGATTTACAATATTTTCTCTCATAGCTCAAGTAGAACACGAAAGAACCCCCCGAAGTACTTGTGTTTAACAAGGGATTTTTAAATATTTTAGTTGTAGTGTCTCATCATATTACTTACAACACACATAATTACTTCTCAGAAAAGAACCAGTGCATGGAAGTGCATGAGCAGACTTGTTTAAAATTGATGGTCGCTGTTGAACTTAAGTGGCACAGTGGTACAGTTGGTGGAGCTGCCGCCTCTCAGCGAGTAGGACGCTGGATCAAATCCCGGCCAGGGGTCTTTCTAGGTAGTTTGCATGTTCTCTCCGTGCATGCGTGGGTTTTCTCCATGTACTCCAGTTTCCTCCCACAGACCACAAACATGCATGTTAGGCTGATTGGTAAATAAATTGTCCCTAGGTGTGAGTGAGAGAGTGAATGGTTGTTTGTCTCGTTTGTCTCTATGTGGCCCTCTGATGGGCTGGAGACATGTCCAGGTTGTCCCCCACCTCTCGCACAGTGACTGCTGCATATGGGCACCAGCAGTGCTTAATTTGAGCCGGATCTTGCTGGAACAAGATTCGAGAACTCTCTCATTTTGACCTGGTGCGTTCCGGCAACTGTTTGCAACTCAAATCTCTGCCCCTAAAAGTCTAAAGTCATTGCACCTTTTTATTTTGATTATTTATATAAAAAAAGAATACAAAGAGAGGAGATGTTGCGAAGTCTGTGGAGTGGATATTACAGCTGCACCAGGTGCACCAGCTCGCGAACACACTCCTGCCTGGCAGAGACGCAGACGGCATGTCCTGTGGGGATGAAATGTCTTCATTTATATGGCAAGCTAGGTGGCCCATTAATTGTCAGACATGTGGTCAAAGTGGCTATTAATGGGCCACTTGGCTTGCCATACAACACACAGGAACGTCTCAATACAGCGCTACACAGCACGAACAACTGCTGATGTGAACTCACGCATATGTTTCAGACATAAATTAAAAAGCTTAGGTACAGTTAAAAAAATGCTACGAGAGAAATGTTTGTGTATTATTCACATTAATCACGCATCAAAACAACGGCACTAATTTGTCAAAATAACAGCAATCAAAATGTTGAAAAGACAGTCCAATTTACTTACTTAAAATAAATAAATGGATGGATGGATTGTCGTTAGTTGGACAAACAAGAAGGCAGTCGTAATTTATTGAGATTGGAGCAGCAGGATCAACAATGTGCAGGAATGAATTCAGCAGAGAAGAGTTCGACTCAGAAACATGACGTGTGCTTGAGGATGAGGGGGTAGGACGCTTGACAGCATCGGAGCTGCTCTATTCACACACAACCTTTTGTTGCTCTCTAAAATAGTAATTCAATCAAGTGTTTGCAAATGTAGGTGTAGAGATATACCTGCGTCCCTGAATGTGATTTTGTAACAGACTTTTATTTCTGTGACTGAGCAGTTCATTCTGTAAAGATGTTTCTGAAAAAGAAAAAAAAAAGGGAAACTCTTCATCCCTTGGACAACTGAGACATCCCACCCCACCCCCACTTCAGAACCTGGGACAGTTTAAAGTTTGTTTTCAGCGTCTCCAACTCTGGAAAGTGTCAAAAGAAGACTTTTATGGTTTGTAAGATAACCCAAGGATCCATAAATCTGAATAATATTGGAACACCCTTTCTGTGAACCCCACAAAATGGACGTTTGAGTTAACACAGATCACTCCAGGATGTCCTGGTATCCACTTGTACCAGCCTCCCTCAGACTATCCCATCAACAATCATAAATAACAGAAAGCTTCTTCTCTGTTCAAAGGAATTCCAACTTTGACACTTAGGTCCCATTTCTAGCATGCAAGAAAACGGACAGACTTTTTATTCATGTTTTAGAAGAAGTAATACTGTTTTTGTAATTAAATAAGTATTTAATTGGGTATAACTAAATAACTGCCTTGTTGTTTCCTTACAGCTGACAATAACCTGTGTAGGCCAAAAGTTTACAAACTAGTTTTCTGTTTATAAGGTTGACAAAATGTTTGTATTGTTTAACCTCATTTAAAGTTGATAAGTGTCTTAAATGATTTTATTTGATGACTTTTTCAACAGAGCAGATTAAAATAATACTTTATTTAGTAGATAAGGGTTCAGCCCTTTCATTTTGATTGGTTCGGGTCGACTACCTCTTTCAAATCAGAGGCGTGGTCATTTGTTTACAAAGAGAAAAGAGAGCAGAGGAGAAGAAAAATGATGGAGTGATGAACCCCTCCCGAAGAGGAGATAGAAGTTCTAAGACACAATCTTCAGAAGACTTCCAAGGAGAAAATTAGCTTCAACTTTGGGCAAAGTTTGATAGAATCCTTTTCAGCAATCAAAACACCTGCAGTTTTCATCAAAGAGTTAACCACAGCTGTCCAGAACTCCAGAAGACGCTCCGGTTGACCACTAGAGCCAGTGACCAACTCATCGGCTTGATGTCAGGAATGTGAAGGAATTTACAACTTCACATCACCAGACCATCTGAGCAGAAAGAGTCTAATATCTGGTATCTTCGGCGGCCTGCGAAGACGACTTCTGGTAGGAAAGCTGACCTGTACTGACGGCTGACTCTGGTGTTCAAGAATTCAATTTTTAACCATATTAGTTTAACTCAGTTCAGTAATTATTTTTCTTTAAATTTCAGACCAAATTTTAACTATTGAACGATAAAACGTATTTCTTTTAGTAAAATTTCATAATTAATCTGCCCTGATGAAATAACAAAATTGTTCCACATTGCATCTTATTTCTGGTTTGATTAAGCATATAGAATAATTTCATTTATCTGTTAATCCATGCTAACCAGTGATTTTGACGGTCATTTAATTTCCATCTAACCCCAGCTGTGAACAAAGCCTTCATTTGTCAGAAATAATTTCCAACAGTTGTTTTATCACATATATTCAAATAAACATCACAAAATTGCATTACATCTGAATCCTTCATATAAAAGAACTCACGGTGTAAAAGGGTAATTCGAGGTAATTAAATAATAATCTGAATTGATTTTCAGTCCTTCAGAGTTCTCTCAGAGCCGAGAGTGGTGCCCCCTTCAAAATAAAATTCATAACGAATTTTAACTATTAAATAACCCTTACTGCTACATAGGTAAACCTAGATGTTTAACAACCCGTTAAAATAGGCCATACCAAAATACAGGAAATAGCATCTACTTTATTCAAAAATGTAAGGGGGAGGAGGACCCACAAGCTCCCTACACTTCCCCGCTTCTCACCGGCCCGCCCACCATTTGCATTCCAGCATTGATCAGTTTACAAATTAAGCCCTGGGCACCAGTGACCCCCGCAACCAGAAAAAGAAGTAACGGATAAGATGATGGATGGATGGATGTTGAACTTAAACTTTTTTATATATATATATATATATATATATAAAACTACAGTATTCTGTCAAATGATAAATCTATTTGTAAGGCGTGTTTTTTAATTGTTAAAACTGTTGAAGCAAACGTTGCTCACCTTCACTATATCTAGAAAATTTACTATTTCTATTTCTCAAACAATAAAACTTCACCTATTTCTAGGAACTAGCTTCTACTATAGCAACAAAGCATAAAACATACTAAAATGTCTTTGTAAATCTCTAAAACTTGTACAACCTTGATAGAAAGTAATCTGTAGCTGTGTAGACTGATTAGAAATGTTTTACAGTTGCTGTATATGAAAAATCCAATTCAGTTTGTCTTGTGCCCTGTAATTTTTTTTTTCCATATAATTGAGACATTTGTTGCCGTTTCTAGAACCTCTTCAGTTTATTGCAGAGCAGCGAAGTTTTTAGTCGTTGGTGTCATTGTGTTGGCTGAAAACGAAATGCCTTGTGTCCTTGATGCCTTGATACTTATGTTCAGCACAAAAGTGCTAGCTCTGTGCTGTTCAAAGTCCCCCCCACACACACACACACACACACACCCCACCCCATAGTTACCGCTGCAGAAAGGAGAGTGCTGTAGTTAGAAAAGAACCAATGGGTCAATATTTGTCTCTCATCTCTGGTGGCTTTTTAGCACCACTTCAGCTGCAGTTCTGCCTAAAAACTGCACAGTTCAGGGATTTACGCCGATTCATTTTTAATGACTCTATTTAGCATTCCTTTTATTTATGTGGGGATTTATTCATTTATCATTTTGATCTTACTTTTATTATTCTCTTTTCATGGACTTCAATTATTCTTCTTTACAGACATGGGACTCGGTGTGCAGGAGAAGTCGCAGCTGCAGCCAGCAATGGAGTGTGTGGTGTTGGTGTAGCCTATAATGCAAGAATTGGAGGCAAGTGAAAGCATTCCATTTATATTTTTAATTAAGCACGAGTGATTGCTATATAATTCATTTAAATTTGTTTTATATGAATAAATTAGGAATAATATGCACAATAAACTTTAAATTTATATTAATTAACATGGAAGGTAATTTCATTCTGCTTGAGCTCATTTAATTTGACTCTTGCGTCATAATGACAGCTTTACTGTAGCTTTATCTTCACATTTTATTAATTACAGTGATAGTGTTTGAAGGCAGTATCCTTAATGTGACTTTATGCACCACAGACGAGCATTTACTGACTGTGGGAGTGTTTGTGACTGTTCTGCAGAATCTCTGCAGTTGTGTGTAGTGAATATTCTTTGATTTGGAGTTGCTGAAAGGACCAGCTAATGATGAGCTGTTGCTTTTTTTTTTTTTTTTTTTTTTTTTTTTTTTTTTTTTTGGTAGACTATGTAAATTGTGAATTAACCAAGACTGTAAATAGAAGCTTGCTTTATCGACCATTCTACTTTAGTTTAATTATGTGACTGCTTATTAAGCATTCACTGTTGTTTTCCTGTTTATCTTTATTTTTATTGTTATATTAAGTATCCCTTGTGTTTTTCTGCACTTAACTCATTCCGTAGTTTTTGTGCTACTTCATATTTCTAAACGTTCAGCTCATTCAGGACACTCCTGCTATGGATTTTAGTAGTGGTGCAACTTTAGCTTTTTGAAATATTTAGCTTTATCTGCCCTTTTTTTTTTCATTGAAAATGAATTGACCTCACTTCACGTCCTTCAAACACTTTGATCTGTTTACAAGCTTCTGCTTTCTTCAGCTTATTTGTGTCCATTTTAGCATTCTTCAGCTACTTACAGCTAATTTCAAGGTTTTTTTTTTCCTGCTATTTTTGTGCTCCTGTCAGCTTCTTTCTGCTAACTTCAGCTTTTTTGTGCTTCTTCTAACATCTTTCTGCTAATCTCAGTTTTTAATACTCCTTTCAGCTTATTTCAGCTTTTTTTTTTTTGCCTTTTCAACTACTGTTTATCAGTGTTCCTGCTTATTTTTGCTGTTTCAGCTAATACCACATTTTTTATGCTCCTTAACACCTGCCAGACATCTACCTCTTAAGATAGCTTAGCATTTTGTTACTTCTAACACTAAGCTAGCTCTTTCATGTTTTTTTGCTAACACTTTGCCACTTTTGGCTCTAAACTAGCATTTTCTGCATTTTTGTTGGCATTTAGCTGCTTTTGACTCTCAAGTAGTTTTCTCCTATTTGCTAGCATTTTACGACTTCTGACTTTAAGCTAGCATTTTTCCTGCTTTTTTGCTAACATTTCATTGCTTTTTGCTCTTAAGTTAGTTTTTTCTTCCTGTTTGCTAGTGTTTCTGCCACTCATTTAGCTATTTTTGGCTACATTTTCAACTGTTCACGTTAAAGAAGTAGCGACAGGTCAGCGACTGAAAATTGACAGCTTAGTTTCAGCTTCTTCAGCAGCTTTCTGCAAAACCATTCAGCAATAAGTGTTCACACTGCATTTTTACCGGAAATGCTCATTTTTCTATTTCTAAATATATGCTGTGTTACTGAAAACGTTGACTTAAACATATGGTGTTTGATCACTAACAGTGCAGAGGAACATGTTGATTTCATAGTATTATAAACAACAAGGTGAATCTGATTTATTTTAAATCAGTTCCTTGTATGACTCAGCCTTGTTTGGCTCTTCAGCCTTTTATTTCAGTAATTAGATTAAAAGCAAGTTCAATTTTTTAAGTGTTTATCTGAGTTCCTCACGCATCAAAATGCAGGATGCTAAATTTTGGCTGGTGTCGAGAAAAGAGTCTTCACATTTCAGTGCTCATTATCAAATTACCTGCCCAAGAGGTTCCTCAGACTCTCAGAGCTGATTCTTGTTTAAAGAGTGATAAACCCGTCAGCAGGCTCTGATCTGCATGAGAGAGGATTCATATCAATCAGAAGTTATGCCTCAAAATTGTTTAGCAGTAAAATTTTGCATCTTATTGAGTATTCCAAGGTGGCTTTTAGTAACTTTTGTCAACTAGCAATCTGTCAATGCCGCGGTGGCTGCCAACAAGGCTCAGTGGAGCCTGTGGAGCCCTGAGCAGTCCCGTCCACAGATGTTACTCATAACTCCCCTTCTTTGTCTTCATTACCATTCATCTCCCGACTGAGCCGCATGTTGGCCCTGATCTCATAAATTACTCCTCAGCGAATCTGTTCGCGTCACGGGGTCAGTGGATTGTTTATAAACAGCTGTGATTTCCTGCCAAATGCTCATGGTGTGTGTGTGTGTGTGTGTGTTTACATGTGAGAGAAGTGGTTATATTGGCCCAAATACTAAAATGTGTGTGTCCTTGCAGGGTAATGATGATTAGTGATGTGTGTTGAAACCCTAACCCTACATGGCTTCCATCTGCACACACACACACACACACACACACACCTCAGAGTGTCACCTGTGACTCACCGTAGCTGCAGGAAGCTCCCACCGCTGTGTCTTAATAAGAAATTGTCAAGCTGCAGGAAGTTGATGGGAATTGTTACGACACTAATCATCATTACTGCTAAAGCTTTTGCATAAAGATCATTGAACAAACATTGCATTTTATGTTTCCCATTTACGTTTTTTACAGGCTGTTCAGTATTCAAGCTCGTGCTTCACCGATTCTCCTACAGAGTAATTACTGCCTTGTCAGCATCCCTGCCGGCTTACTTTGTCTAAAAAACGTCCTAATGTGAACGCCGTTGTTCATAATGTTACCTCTGATGTCCGCGGGTTCTCGCCCAGTAATGGACTTTATTTGAGGGAGGTGTATTTCATGCCTTTCTGCAGCCATTAATGTTGGGAGAAGTGATCTGAGGCTGCGAACTTCAAAGGCACAGACAGCGCTGCGTTCAGGTGTCATGAAAAGTGACATTTAGTGCTACCCTGTGGACACGCTGCTCTGTTGGAGGTTCTATAAAACCCCAGCTTGTTTCTGTGTGGATGCAGTTTGGTCGGATCTGTCCGCTTATCCCTTCTATATCTCTGTATCATCGTGGGGGGCAAGAAACTGCCTTCTTTAGTTTACCAAACAGCAGGACTCTTGTTCATGTGAGGGCAAAACTGTGTTTATGTCCATTAAAGCAGAATTTGCTGGTAACACTTTGCTGACTCGTTCATTAAAACCTGAATGTTGTGAAGTGTTTTTTCCAGTAAACCCTTTTTGTCTCCTGGTTTCTGGTTCATTTTCTTGATAATTTTGAGCATTAGTTCTTAATCATTTCTTTCAAATTGTTTTCTATAGTTCTTCATTTGTCATCTCTTGCTGTTGGATTTTGTTCTCTGTTGTGTTCCTTTTGTTTTTATCTGTCAACACACTCATGTTCATTCTGTCATTCTTCATTCAAAGCTCCAGTTTGGTGCCTTTATCTGCTCCGTGCTTTCTGTTCATTTACCAGGAGTTCGCATGCTGGACGGGGAGGTGACGGATGTTGTGGAGGCTCATTCTCTTAGTCTCAACCCCCAGCACATCCACATTTACAGTGCCAGCTGGGGCCCAGAGGACGACGGCAAGTCTCTGGACGGCCCTGCCAAACTGGCCAAGGAAGCTTTTCTCCAAGGAATAACCAAGGTTAGTTAGAAAATATACTCTGACTTTGACAACCCCTTGTCTTTTCTTTTTTTGATGTTGTTATTTTATACTAAAATAATTGTTTCTTTTATTATGCAGTTTCTTTTTAAGTTGAAACCGTGACAACAAATACTGATATAACTTGGAAAAATATGTCTTGTAAAATATAGAAACCAATCTAAGTCAGCTGACAGAAAGTATGTGCCGTGATTAGGTTCTAAAAAATATCAATTCAAGAAGTAAAAACGGAAAGTAGGTAATTATTATGGAAATTAGTTCAACACTTGAAAATGTAAAATGGCAAAGAATTTATTAATTTTATCTTTAGTACTTTACATCATTAAAGAAGTCTGGGGAAATAAGTGAAATTGCTGAAAAACAGTATTGAGTCATTGAATTTGCCACGTCGAGAGGAGCCAGTTGAGGTGGCTCGGGCATCTGGTTAGGATGCCTCCTGGACGCCTCCCTGGTGAGGTGTTCTGGACATGTCCCACTGGGAGGAGACCCAGAGGAAGACCCAGGACATGATGTTTCTCATCTGGCCTGGGAACGCCTTGGGATTCCTCCGGAGGAGCTGGCCCAAGTGACTGGGGAGAGGGAAGTCTGAGCCGCCCTACTTAGGCTGCTACCCTCACGACCCGACCCCGGATAAGCAGAAAATGGATGAATGAATTCTCCATGTATTTAGATAGAGAAATTTACTAATTGTCTTTTCTATGTATGGGAATGTTCCTGTAAAGTGCCCTGAGACAACTTTGTTGTGATTTGGCGCTATATAAATAAACTGAATTGAATTAGAGGCCAACACGGTTCTGCTGATGAAAACTACATGATCTTGGGATTATTTAACAACAACTGTCAGACAAGTTGTCCCTGAATCCACCAAAGAAAGTTAAAACTCCACCTTACACAGTACATTTAAAACATTAAAGTAAATATTTACTTCTTGGCTCACTAAGAGTCCAGGTACTAAACTGTTCTGTCTTTAATCTGAATCTGTTGTCCACTAAAATTATTCTTTGCACATTGAAAGAAAAATATGACAAAGGACATGTAGGCAGTTGAGCTGCTGAAATGTCTTATTTTAAGCAAGAATGTGAAGACACGTCTTAAGAATCTGAACATAACGTTCAGTCAGATGAAAAACAAGAAGGTATTTTTCCTTTTCAAAAGCAAAACTTGCTTGAATAAACAAAATATAAGGATACAGGACAGGAGGTTATGAATACAGATACAAGAGGTTATGAATTTATTCAACAAATTTCTGGAGAAAAGTTTAGCATAAAATACTAAATCTCATTTTACTAAGAGATAAAAGAAAAGAAAACCCTTTTTAACTTCACTACCTAAGCAAACACAAATACATAACCAGGTCCCTAAATCTATGTTTCTTTAAAAATAACATTTTAAAAAACTTTGACATTGCACGATTGGCACTATAGACTGAATGCATTATTTGTTTTGGACTTTGGATTTCCATGCATGCACAGTAACTGGATGGCAGAAGACAAGCAGGACAGGAACAAATGTATGAAACAACCTGGAGGTGAATAAGTGTTTAGACCAGGGCTATTCAGCAAAACTGCTCAGGGGGCCACAGTTTCTGAAAGTCAACAGCTCGGGGGCCGGACATCCAGCGATTAAAATCATCATGTAAATAAATAAAGTTTACAATGATCTTTTTACATTTGTTTATTTTATTGCATTGAATCATAAATGCAATAAACAGAACCCAAACCCAGAAGCCCCCAAAAAATTACTATTATTTTTTTTTATGATGTGGGCCGGATTGAAGTCACCCACGGGCCGGAAGTGGTCCGTGGGCCACCAGTTGAATAGTCCTGTTAGACAGTAAAATCAGTAGGTGAAGTTGTCAAATGTTTTCTGTCCTGTAACAGTTAAACTTATATGATCAACTACTCTGGACTTTATAGACTATTATTTTATAAAAACTTTGTCTCGGGGTATATACTAGAGTTGCTAGGCCAATATCTTTACTGAAGAACTTTCTTTCAGCGCAGTTTTTGCTTATTTTCATTAAAAAACCTGCACATCTCACCACCTAAGTTTGTAATGAAGCTTTATGTGCACCCATGTGCACAGCAGTGTGTCTATTTTGATTGTTTGCATTAATCTGACAATTATGAATACCTTTCATGGACTTCAGTACAGCGTTGGGCCTTTGACCCACCAGTAACCAAGATAAAACAGAATGGTCTTTATGTCACAAATGCAATAGGTCTGTGTGTAGGCAGTGTAATAATTGCTTGCAAGAACAATGCGCGTGACACTTCCTTGTGTTTTTCAAACAAAGCATGATTAAAAGGCAATTAGGTCTCACATGACAAATAGTCCTATCATGGAGCACTTACACAACGCAGGACAAAAAACAACCAATTATGATCACAAGCTACAAGCTAAATGCACCTCTAAGTTTAGAGGGGGAACTGTTCATGTTAAATCACAGACGCAGCTGAATGACGATTTGAATATGTTTGTAAAGGCAACAAGATGATCGGCTGGCATGCTGAATTTGACCACGGTTCTAACACACAGGTCCAATAAGTCAGGGCAGGCAAAGGGAGTCCTGAAGGGAAGGCTTGTAAAGGAATCCATCCAAACGTGCTTTTAAACAGCCTAATTTGCATCGTGAACTACACATTTATTCAGTGCCGAGGCAGGTGAAGAAGCTGCAGAGGGCTGTGACATGCAGCATTTGGTCTTCTCAGCTCCCTGAAGCTCACAGGGTGTCATTAAAATAAAAGGTGATGTAACACAGTAGTAAACATGTTCTATGTTAGTGCTGGTTTTGCGAGGCTTAGAATAAATCAACACAGGCGGGTGTTTGCTGATCTGTTTTCACCTCATGAAACTCTGGTTTTTATTTTAAAAAATATAGAAGACCCTTTACAGATGTTTCATCATGTTGCTTACAGCTGGGCTTTAAACGACTTGCAAAGCATTCTGGTTTTAGAATGGTACCCATTTCACATGGCATTCCATTTTTCTTGGAAACTAATCTGGTTTTATATTTAAAATATTAGTAGCAAATAGAGACCATTAATTTCAAGTAATGAATCACAATGAGAGATGCTTAGTCACTTTTTAACTACCTAAATGTTAAATAAATGATAATTTTGCTATTTAGCTGTGCTAAGAATAAATGGAGATTACATGGAAACTATCTTAAAGCTCAATAATTTAAAAAAAATAAATCAAAGTTGAGTTTAAAATGCAAGTTATTTTGAGTTAACACGTTAACATCGGTCCCCTTGGTGATCCCTGTGCAATTACTTTCTGGAAAGATAAATTATTGAAATGTCTGGTTGGAGAATTGAAATGTTGAATTTGTCCACAAGCTAGGATAGAAGACAAAAAACAACCGGGAGCAGACTTCAGCAGTAACCTCTGAAAGCAAATAAGAGTTTTTAAATGCATCAAGATATTTCTTTGAAACTAAATAAACGCATAGAAAAGTTACTACCGTCAGCAAAAAGAGGCTGTTGAAAATTTTGGTGTTAAGGAATATTCAAGTATTCTTGTTATACAAGTTAGGACCAGCTCATTTTTCTCTCATGAATCATTTCATGGATGCATGTAATGAAGAGTGTTTGAGAAGTCCAGTGGAAAAGGACAAACTCAAGGTGATTTTTTTTTTTAATTGCCAATTAACTTTTTCTTTAAGCTCAAGTAGAAATAGACCTAAAAGATTTCTGGCATATTCCCGAAGTTTAATGCTGCCATCCCTCATGTGTCAGCGTGCTGCATCAAAGGCATTGCAGCTAAATGATAAAAATGAGATTTAAAAAATAGAAACGGCAGCAGTCTGATGCAGAAGGCAGCAGTAATTGGCATGTAAATGAATGAAACTGCAAATTTTCTGTGCCACAGAATGACTCATATCCCACATCCCCAAATGTGATCTGCTCCACATATCATGGTGTGATAGTGAAGAAGAATTGCCTGACAGCGAGACAACAGGACCTTTCTGGTTTAGCGTGTGTTCTCCCAGCAGCGAGATAACACTTGGCACTGAAGTGTTCTTCTGTAAACCCACAGCACCGGCAGCACCGGGTCGTAAATTGAGCCGGACGGTTTAGGAGTGTTGTGTACGGCTTCAGGTTCGATTCAAACATCACACACTCAGCAAAAACACATTTATCCCCTCTTCTAAAACAAGATCATTTTCTGAGACAGGGGTGTAAGAATCAATTAGGAAAATTGAACAGATAATCCGTATAAAACACTCTGTACCAGCTCATTTAAAATCTGTCTTTAAGGTCCAATTAGGGTCCCTTTGAAGACTTACGAGCTTAACATTTCACTGATTAAGTGTGCCAGAGAAAACGGCATCACAACAACAGTGATAAAGGTAGTAAATATCCCAATAACAAGACAGAAATTATATCTTGTAATGATAGGCTTGGTTTTTGTTGTTTGTTTTTGTTGGGGGGGATTGTGTGGCTTGTTTGTGTGTTTTGAGTGAAATTTTATGACTCATCATTGTTCCCCCTATATTAGTTTTTGATTGATTGTGCTTGTTATTTGTATTTTTGTCCTTCGAAAGAAATATGTTATCCAAGCTTTTAGTCTAAACTGCATTTGGAAGAAGATCGTTTTAGCATTAATCTTTAATATTGTGAAAATTACCCTGCTCCAGTTGGTCTGTTCACACATTGATGGAAGATTTAACTTTAATTGCTCCATTGATTTGGGAATGGCAAGATGTAATAAATAATCAACAGAAAATTAAACCGTAAATTAAGATTAAAAATAGAGATGACGGTGTCTTGACAAAGGAAAAAAATAGAGAATCTGTACAGGAAGAACCTAAGCCTGTGCAACCTTCACAAAAAGACGCTGAAGGCGTTCTTCAACCCCTGAAGCTTCTGAGCTGCGGAGCCCGACAGCAGATGCCCTGATGTCTTCTGTTTTTGTCTTCAGCACAGCCTCAGGGGCAGTCAGCAAGAGCTGGTCAGCAGTCTTCAGGCTACAATCAGCAGTATTTTAGGATGCAGGAAAGTCAGAAAGTGTAGGAAGAAAATCCTTTGCCTTCAGTAAAGAAACACGAGAGGATGAAACGAAATTTAAAACTAAATTGTCTTCAATATGATGGCTTTTGTTTTGTACCGAGTAAAAGCAATCCATTGATTTCTGTGGCTCTCTTGCAAATAAAGACTCATAGTAATTCAATCATCTGGAGACTAGCGCACGAAACAAGTGTTTGCATGGCTCGCAACAACGACAGCTATCTAATCATAGTGGTGTTTCTGAGACGGCGTAAGCTTTTGGTACAGAAGTGATTGGTGAAAATCCATCTGACATGTGGTAACCCTCCCACAGCTTCACTAACCTGTTGTTGACAACTGACTAAATGTATGTTGCATGTAAAACAGTTGTGCATGTGTTTGTATTTTTACTGTCAAACATCATCTCGTCATTTATTTGCCCTCAAATTCAGTTTGAATAATTATGGTAATTACATTTGCTGTCTGATGTCCCTCCCGACACAGTGATGTATTAACAAGATCTGTGGTTACAGCGGTTCAGTGTTTCTGAAAGAAAGCGCATAAATAAGTCGTTTAAGCAGTGAGACGAGCATCTTTGTCAAAGGCTGGTCCTCGCGCATCAGTGAGCGTCGGTCAGACTCTTTCTCTGCTTCGTCTGGTCTTACGTGAAGATATTCATGTTATTGCACAGGGACGCAGCGGACTGGGCTCTATTTTTGTCTGGGCCTCGGGCAACGGTGGCCGAGAACAGGACAGCTGCAACTGTGACGGCTACACCAACAGCATTTACACCCTGTCCATCAGCAGCACCACGGAGTCAGGCAACGTGCCATGGTACAGCGAGCCCTGCTCCTCTACGCTCGCCACTACATTCAGCTCTGGAAACCCAGGAGAGAAACAGATAGTGAGTGCAGACATTTTCGAAATTTATAAAACTGTTGTTGAGATCGCAACTGTATTTTTACACTCTGTGCATCAGTATGTCAAAGGGTACAAAACATCTGTAGTGGTACATCCTTAAAGCTTTTCCTAGTGTATCGTTAAATTAGTCTTTTGTCTGTCGTGTCAAAAATAAGCATCAAACTTTCAAAGTATCAAAGCGTCTGATGCGTGCAACAAGGGAAGCGGACAAACACCGAAAATGCCTCATGCCTCTTCTAAGCTGGTTGTCAGCTGATGAAAGCCTCGCCTCAGGGACACAAACAACACAAAACAACCATGAACCTGCTGTTCTGAAGGAAATACACCAGAGCAATGCTGCAGGCAAACAAATTCACTTCATCAAAGCAAGTAAAATTAAAAGTTGTTTTTAATATTTTTTTATAAAGCAGCACTAAATTCATATTGTTGCTTTAGCAGTAGAAGGCGGTTATTTGTAAGAATATTGATTTCATCCCATTTAGTCTTTGTTCAACACTAGTATTTACAATCACTGTGATGTTTTGTGATGATTGCTACAGTTAAAGTCCAGGATTTGTGGAAAAAAATCAGCATGAATTCAGAAATAGATGATTTAGCGTAGAGATTTTGACCCGTTGTCTCTTGAGAAAACAAATTTTTGCAGCTGGAAGCCGTAGGAAAACCTCATTAAATAAATACCACTTTCTCTAATTAAGCAGAGTTGCTCTGGTTGACCTCTGCTGTTTTAAATTGTGGTATCTGTATAAAGAAATAATAAAATGTTGCTGCTTTCTAAAATTAATGCATTACCATTAAGATACTAAAAAATACAGTATTCACTAATTGCTCGTTTTTTTTTTTTTTTTTGTTTTTTTTTTTTTTTTTTTTTTTACCAGAATAAAATGCAATTAAAACATTTAAAATTTGGAAAACTTGGATTCTCCAATAACATCAAGATGCAACAAAGTGCTTTGGCTGTTATTTCCAAATGGAACACGCATTATAAATACTAGACTGTAGCTAATATTCATTTTTACCTTTTAGCTATCTTCTTCTTAAATTGTACATTAGTCCCTCGCTACTTCGCGGTTCGTTTATCGCGGATTCGCTCTATCGCGGTTTTTCAAAATAAGATTGGACATGACGCACAATTGACTGACTGATGGATGAGCCGCACAATCGGAATTTAATTTTTATTTAAAATAAATTATTTAAAATTATTTAGCACCTGTGTGCAGCTCAGTGCAGCAGAAAAAGCTTCCTCCTGCAGCTTTGTGTAGCCCATACTGCTGCAGGATAAACTTCCTGCTGCAGCTGATCAGCTGTTCAGCATGCAGAGCGTAGAAGTGGGCGTGGCCAAGAGCACTTGCAGGTGGCTGAGAGCATAGGAGGCAGGGAGCTGAAATCATGACATTCTGTGCTCTTTTAGAGCGTTTAGAGTTTTGAAACATTGTTTAGAACATTGCAAGAGTAAAAACACCTTAATGTATATCTGTATAAATAATAAAATAAACTACTACTTACTACTATTTCTACTTGGCGGCTTTTCACTTATCTCTGGTCTTCAGGGTACGGATCCCCGCGATAAACGAGGGACTACTGTATTTTATAAATTTTCAAAATAGATTAAAAAAAATAAATAATAAATAAACTTTATTTAGCAGTCTAAATCAAACCTCTACACATATAAACAAACCCAAAAATCACAGCAACACATTAAGAAAAACTTTTTATTTTTTTATTATTACTTATAAACCAACTTGTTATGAGAGCATTAAATAGATGTGAACTAAAACCAGCTCTGTTCAGACGCCTCCTCTCACCATTTGTTTACAACTCTGACACTCAGGCATGTTTAGCTGGAAATCATTATCACCCCAATCTGTCAGGGCATGAAGTTGCAAACAGAGGCTGCATCCCTAACCTTCACAGCCAGCCTTGCTTTGGGCCCCTCTGTCATCTCTGATGTGTCCTCATCATGACCCAGACAGGCCTCATTAGCTTCCCGACACTGACAGGCAGCAGGAGCAGAGACGTACACGGAGAACTAACATCCTCCGTCTCACCACCATCTGACCCGGCTGGGACGACTTGGCTGACTTTCACTGTCCTGCTTGTGACCCTTTGGCAGGCGTCCACAGACCTGAGGCTGAAACTACCAAATGATTCCCTCCTCCTCGTTCTTCTTCCTGCTCGGATAGCTGCAGGGAAAGCTCACATTTGTCTCCTGTCTTAAGACACAGCCCTTCTCTCCATGAAATCGTGTTCAAATGGAAAACTCAATGTATCATATTAACTGCATGTCTCCTTCTGTATTTATGTCCAATTCTCTCTTCTTTCCTTGTCTTGTAGGTGACCACAGACCTGAGGCAGAAATGCACTGATTCTCACACAGGAACATCTGCTTCTGCCCCGCTGGCTGCTGGGATCATCGCTCTGGCTCTGGAGGCAAAGTGAGTGGGAATGACACTTCTAACAATTTAACTTTTTTTTTTTTTTTTTTTAATTGCCCATTGGATTTATGCCAACAAAGCGCTTTTCCATAATAAATTAAATTGTTGTTATTTTTTAATTACAGTAGTTTTTTTTCAACCAATGTCAAATTATCCTGTTACAACCATTTAAAAGTTGGAATGTAAAATGTTTAAGGTTTTTTTTTTTTTTTTTTTACTATCAATGTGGTAATATTTATTATCGTGCTTCACTGTGTGCTCCTGGGAGGTGCACGCACTCACATCTGAAAATATACAGACACCTCTGGGAAACAACGTTGGACTAAATCCCTGCAGAAATTCTTTCTACAGCAAATTAAGCTTTTGATAATCACACAATTAGCAAGATAAATCAGCAGCTGCAGCCCAAACAGATATTTGAATACCTGTAGGGCTGGCAGTGAAGATTTCTTACTCCAGAACTGCTCTCATTATCGCTCGCACAGGACTCCAGGTGTCTACGATTCTGTGAGCTGCTCTAATGTGTTCCCATCATTTAGGTATCTTCACTTGGTATCTCGCATGTGTTAAGTCGGTCTCATCAGTCAGCTGTGCTCCACTTTGCATAATTCTCATGTCCATATTAGTTATGACAGGTGTCAAATCCTATCCTGCAGTGCTTTACAGTGAAGGTATGTATCCCCAGCCTCCTCAGCTTATCTCAGCTCTGTCAGCTCTGATATCATAAGAGATGGGCAGTAACTAGCAGAGCTCAGGTTTTCACAGTAGACTATCAGTTATCAGTCAGTATTTTCCAGCGAGCAGCATCTCAGCAGGCTCCTATCCTGACAGGCAGCAGTAATAACACAGCAGCTAGTTTATCAGATGGTGAGATTACAGTGAAACTCACAGAGATGGATTTGTTTAATAGGTAGAAGGTTTTGGCTTTCTGCTGTTTTACCATTCTATCGTCCCCCCTCCCCCTCACTCTTGGCTGATGTGACATCGAGTGGATCGGTGGGATCTTGTCCATTAATAACACATGAGAGGATGTGAGACGAGAATGCGGAAGGGGGCGGAGGTGATGCGCCTCGATGAAATTCTGCATTTCTATTTCTGTCGACTGGTGTTGCGCTCTCTGTGGTTCGTGGTTTGATTATTGAAACCCACTGAAGAATTTTTCTAGCAGCGTCATAACAACACGGTCACACTAAAGAACAGCTTTAGGTGACTTAAGTTCTGTACAAAGTGTGAACATAGTGGTCACAGAGCATTATCAATGAGTATAAAGTGCAATAAAAATATCATCAAATAAAACTTTTAGTAAATGGTTTGTACAATAAAAGCAATATATTCTGTTCAACTAGGACTAAAACCCAGTAAGAAGAAATATGTTTAAATTACAGCAGTGATTTAAAATGATCGAAGCGCTGTGCAGTTCTAATTTTCAAAGATGGGCAACTCCACAAATTAGGTGTCACTACAGAAGAGGTTCTGTCGCCTCCTGTTTTTTGATCCGAGAGAAGTTCATGTGTGGACCTATCTGGTTGGAGGATGAGCATGCAAACATTTGGGCAAAAATCTGGTGTCATATCATGAGAACAAAAAAAAGGTTAAATCATTTCATCTGGACCAGTTTCTTTAAGGGAGAAACGTTTCGTCTTCCATCCGGAAGACTTCATCAGTCTGCGGCCTGCCAACCAGATCTGTCCTATAAGTAGCCTTCATTGCTGTGTTTCAAGCCAACCTCCTGTAGAAGCAGGCTTTTAACACATGCAAAATGACCCATCTGTCCAAAATAATCAATCATCATGATTAACAATCAAATGTTTTAGGACAGAAGGCCGACTCGCTACTCACAGAAACAACCTGAAGACACTTAACAACAAGAAATACAATTTTAAACTGGATCCTAAATTCTTTCTCATTCATGTAACAGTAGTTAGACCCTAGTTTGAAAGATAGTCTAGACAACAGACAGGGGCATTGTCCTCCGATGGAGAGTTGGGGTTTCCACTTCACCCGCAGTCACATGCTTAAGTGTCCCTGGGCCAGATACTGAACCCCTCATTGCCTCCGATGTGTGTCCCATCGATGTATGAATGTGATAAAGCGCTTATTTTTCTTTGTAGAGATATAGTAAAGTGCTGTATTAATGGGTAAATGAGGGCACAGATTATAGTGTAAAGAGCTTTGAGTATCTTGATCAGATAGAAATGCGATATACAAGTACAGTCCATTTACCATTTACAACAGAGACAGTTGCTATAAAAGTCAAAGGTACAGTGAAAGATCACACAAAGTTTCCTGGCAAATGAGTGACACTAAGAATGCAATGGAGCATAAACAAAATCGTAGGAGTTTACATTATCAAAAAATAAGGGCTGTGGTTGCTCGGTGGTCAGTGTTGTGATCTTGTAATCCTGAGGTTGCAGGTTCAAGCCCAGCTTGCGTCAGGAAGGGCATCTGGCGTAAAACAAATTGCCCAATCTTTCATGTGAGTTTGCTCACTGTGGCAACCCTTGAAGAAGGGAGCAGCCGAAAACACTTACATTATGAAAAGCTGTTTTTGTTCAGGTTTAGTACGTGCATGAAAGTTCATGTTTGTAAAACTTATAGACACTTTAACAAGGCCTGAACAGAAGCAAGCCTGGTCTTTAGTTAAAAGTAAGATTTTTTTCGGCTGCTCCTTTCTTTAGGGGTCGCCACAGCGAGGGAACTTGTAGGAAAGTTTTTGGCTATTTGTTTTACGCAGAATGCCCATCCTGACGCAACCTGAGCTTGAACCCACATTACAAGACCTCTGCACTGAGCAAATAGATTGGACGATGATAAGAAAAATGGTAATAGGCCCTAAAACTGAGCCTTGAGGGACCTCATAACTAAGTGGGGACACGGTTATAGTAGTTTCTAAATGGGGAAAAAAGAAAAGAAAACTCCTCTGAAGGGCTGACTGGAGTGATTCAATAGCTGCACCTTTTATGCTAATGGAAGCTCTCAACTGAGTCTCTTGATAAATTCTAATGAGGAAAAGTATTTTTACAAGTTCTCTAACTTTGTGGAAAGTGACCCTAACCCCCAAGTCTCAGACCTTATTAGAAACTTGCTTTGCAGCAAAGAATGGACACCATTCTCTGGAGTTATCGTTTCCTTTGACCTCTGAGCACAGTAGGTTATGCAGTTTCTTTTAATGCTGGTATTTTAGGTCGATGTTGAAACCTTTGTGAGTCCCTTGCTTTGTTATGATTGCCCAGCACATCTACTCTATGTCTCAGTATAATATTTCATAAGTGTATAGTCGACCTCAGTGCATATGCTGAGATTGATTACATTTCAGGTGTGTCTACAGTCTCGTGACCTTTTCCATGTCCCACAGCTCCTCAGATTTCCTCAGCTGTATTATTGTATCATCGAGGTCAGCAAAACCTGACTTTCCTCATAATGTGCATAATGTAGAAATTATTACCTTCAGCCATTACATGACAGAAAATCAATGCAGTTATATTGCTCTGCTTCTCGTGTTTGTCCAGTATGAATCTAACCTGGAGGGACATGCAGCACCTGGTGGTGAGAAAGTCCCAACCCAGGCACCTCGTCGCCGGAGACTGGAAGACTAACGGAGTGGGGCGCAGAGGTAGAGACGGCGTATCCTCACTAATCTAAATCAATCCCAGACGGTATCATATAGTAGGGTATTATATGTATATCTCAAGTCTGAGTACAGTGATTTTATTACACCATGAAGTTTTATATCATGTGAATGTCATTTCTTTACAAAGAAAAAAATCATTGTTTTGTTTATCATTATCCCAACAGGCTGGTTGACTTCATACAGTAATTACCATCTGCAAAGCCAACACATTACAGTTATTTTAGCCCATCTGATAATAAATGACAGATTTTTTTTCTGCAATATCATACAGATCTGTGTCAGCTGTGTCTCAGGAGGTAGAGCCAAGTTTGTCAGTTCAATCTGCAGCCTCTCTTTACGCCAAAGTGTTCCTGTGCAACCCAGTACTTGGTTTGGCAGCTCCACAAAAATCAGTGTGCGTGTGCGTGCAAATGGATGAATTTAAAAAAAAAAATGTTAGAAAAGGCTTTGCAGAACCTTCCTTAAATTTAAAGGAGCTCTCAGATCACATCTTGTGTTCTCAATCAGAAACCAATGATAGTTTGTAGTCAAAGGCTTCATATCAGACTCTTGCTTTGCTACAGAATTTATTTCAATGCTGCCATTCAGAAAATAACGTGGTTGGCTAAACTGTATTTGAATAAAACAGTAATAGCATTACTTACGCTAACCGTTAAACAGCAGAGCCATTAAGTCTTTTCTCAAAGTCAAGAGTACAGAGATGTTCTTTGCATTTAGAAAATGCACAAATGAACAGTTCTGCAACTGTGCAGATGTCCTTCATTACAAATGTCTTACTCCTATACGAGTATAGGACTAAATGCTTTAAGAATGCAGTTATTAATAGGTTTTGTAAATACCAAAAAAGTCACCTATCAGTTTTTGGGCAATTTAGAAATGGCTTCAAGTCCCAGAAACCACCTGGATCAACTTTCACACATACTTTGCTCCCTGTGGAATTTACAGCTGTATAAACACCTGTAATGTTTCCCAGTGTACCTTGTGGAAGAAGTCACCAAACAAGTCCAAGTAAACTGCGCTGCCTGTGTCGGGCTCTGTGGCATATTTACAGCTCAGCTCCAACACTTTCAACTGCGTGTACACTTCCAGGCCTTACAAATGACTTTCTGTGTGGTGTGCCAGCAACACACTCTCTGCCCGTGTCTTCTAGAGCTCCGGGAGAAGTTTGTTTACTTTGTCTCTTATTCTCCTGCCAGCAGCTGTCAATCAAACGCACACACCCATCAGCACGCTGAGACGGAAGGGACCAGTTCAGATCTCTATAAAGATCTTTCATCTTAATCTTGATCCTTAAAAAAGGCACTAAATGTTTATGATGGCAGCAGAAAATGTGAATTTAGTTTGGCTTTAGGAAAGGCTGCAGAGCGGAGTGCTTTAGAAAGATTTATGATTGAACGCTCAGGTTAAAGCAGAGAAGATTGTCTGTGGTTAGCTTCTAACAACATGCATTTATCTCCTTGTCACTCCAACTCTCCCCCCCGGCCCCTCAGTGAGTCATTCGTACGGGTATGGTCTCCTGGATGCAGGTGCCATGGTGGTGCTGGCACAGAACTGGACAACAGTGGGGCCGCAGCACCAGTGTGTTCACACCATGCTTACAGAATCCAGGTTAGAAGGACGTCTTGAATCTGTGTTTGTGTGTAAATAGCAGCGGGTTTTGGTTTTATTACAAGCACTAGCTACTCCATAATTCCCACCCCCTCCTCTAAGCCTGATAGCATATCAGAGAATAGTTCTCAAGGCCAGGGAGGTCTCTTTGAATCTTAGCACAGCGCGATTGTTTGTCTGTTTCTGCAGCCACACAACATTAACCACTCTCCCTTCCACTCTTCAAACCTGCAGAGACATCGGAAACAAGCTGGTGTTCAGCAAAAGCGTGGATGCCTGCTGGGGACAACCGGAGTATGTCAGATCTCTGGAGCACGTTCAGGCTCGCCTCACTCTTTCCCACAACCAGAGAGGAAAATTGGCCATTCATCTCATCAGCCCACTGGGCACACGTTCCACCCTGCTGTTCCCAAGGTACACAATAAAACAAGCCAAGCCAGCAGCCGAGCCCTTAATGTAAATCCCCCCCCCCCCCTTCTGTGTCTTTGTGGCACACAGAGACAAACAATATGTGTGCTCTTCAATTCTTTTTGTACACAGATGCTCCCACAGGCATTCTCTCTGAGAAAAGCGCACAAAGAAAACAACAGACACGCAGTTTCTTCTGCTCTTCTCTTCTTTAGACCCAATGACTATTCCTCAGAAGGGTTCAATGACTGGGCCTTTATGACCACCCACTCCTGGGACGAGGATCCTCAGGGAGAGTGGACACTAGAAGTAGAAAATGTGGCAGTGAATGAACAAGACTACGGTAACCCCCGCTCATCGCCGTTAATTGTTCATTCTGGGCAGATTATGTTGAAAGCACACTGGTGATGCTATTAACTGCCCCCTCTCTGAGTCTTTCTGCATACTTTCACGCTTCACCAGATAGCCTCTTTTCAGTTTCTCTCTCATTCCTCCTCTAATGGCACAGTTTGTAATATTTTCACCACCCAGGGGAGAAGCTTGTACAGGCACAACTAGATTAACAGTTGGCTCCTGCTGCAAGAAAAAATATCCACCAATCTTTTTGGTCGTGTTTTTTATTTTTTTGATTATTTCATAGTTTTGTGCTACATTTTTGCTCAAAAGGAAACGATTGGTCATGAAGTTTGCTGTAACTTAATTTGCTTAGAGATGCAGAAAGTGATCCGATGAGAGAACTTATTGTCCTCTGCTGGTGTCCTTCAGTTATGTTCACATGCTCACATCTCTTGTTTCCTCTGTTACGTCTTTATAGCTGCTCAGACAGTTTTTCCTCACACTGAGAAGGGCTAAATTGATGTTTCCCTCCACATCTTTGCCTCCCTGTGCTCTGCTGACTTTTATTTTCTTTATTTATTCTTTTAGGTGTGTTGAGTCAGTTCACTCTCATCCTGTGGGGCACCGGGCCGAGCGTCGTCAACCCCTCTTCACCCGACTTCCCTCGACCTTCCAATAACAGCTGCAAGACGTTCGACGCTCAGCAGATTTGTATTGGTGAGACCAAGTTTAATTCTTTGTTTTGGCGCTTGGCTCTTGTTACAAACCAGACTTCAGGTCAGCTCGTGTTGGGTGTCGACGCGCGAAATCAAACGTGAATGCAGATGACTTATTCACAAGCCTCTTCTGCGTGTGTTTACACATGCACAATAAATTAGCATGTTAACATGTCGTCTGAGAGTGTGGGGTGTGTTGGGAGCAGCAGGCAAGATTAAAACTGCAATAGTGCAAGAGGTGCCTGCTGCCAACAGTCTCCACATAGAGCCTGAGGAGATCGGACACATCTCTCCCTGCCAGTCAGGTTTTCTTCTTTATCATTCAGATTAAATCTATATTATAGTTACTGCTAATCCTTTCATTTACACAACCACAAATCCTTAATGACTTCCCAGAAATGAACTACCAACACTGCACAATAATAATAATAATAATAATACAGTAGTCCTTCGTTTATGGCGGGGGATCCGTACCCTGAAGCCCCGAGATAAGTGAAAAACCGTGAAGTAGGAATAGAAGTACAAGTAAATGGACTATACTTATATAATGCCTTTCTATCTTATAGAGATACTCAAAGCACTTTACACTACAACCTGTGTCCTCATTTACCCATTCATACAGCACTCTACTAGACCTCTACAACGCTAATTGAACAAATCATTCTAAAGAGACTAATCATTGTTTTATCACATTCATACACTGATGGGACACACATCGCAGGCAACGAGAGGTTCAGTGTCTTATTCAGAGACACTTCGGCATGTGACTGCTGGTGGATTCGAACCCCCAACTCTTGCATTGGAGGACGACTGCTCTAACCACTCAACCACAGCCGCCCCTAGTAATACAAGTACAAGTAGTAGTATATATATGTATATATACATATATATGTGTGTGTGTGTATATATATATATATATATATATATATATATATATATATATATATATATATATATATATATTATATCAGAGTCAGAGTTTCTTTATTGTCATTCGCACCTCATGT